TGAGAGCCTACTATGTCCATGGCCCTTTCCATATGTCCTATTTCATACTCAAAACAGCACCATGAGGTAGTATTATCACTACCAATTTACAGATGAGGAAACAAAGGATTTACCAGATGATATAAGGTCAAATGGAAAATTTATTACTAACCATGTAGTCTTAGCAACAAAAGATCAACTGTAATTCTACAAAGAAAAATATAACTGCCATTAATAAAAGAAAAAGCAAGCTACCAATTTCTTTTTTTGTTCCCCAAGCTACCAATTTTTAAATACATCCGTATGAAAAATGAGAATTTCAGTTTCTAAACTAAAGGGAAAAAATTTTCCCATAATTTCAATTAGTCCCAGAAAAGAATGGGTGGCATTCATAAATAATCCTCAAACCGACTCCCATTTGCAGGAATTTTAACTGCACAAACACCTTCCATTAACACAAAATAAAGTAAAACATTCGTAAGCTAAATACATGATTTTCCAAAGATACAAATAAAGTATTATTCTGCCTTTCTACCAAGCTTTCAAGATATGCCCTCAAAGAACTTAATCTCATACAAGCAGACATGTCTGTGGGATCTGTCCTTAGAGGCAGAAAAAAAAATTCTGGTTTCCTAATCTTATGGTGGCTACTGAGAAAAAAAATGCAATCTGGAACTCTAATGAAGTTCCACAATCTTATCCACAGTAATAAATTCTAAACATTATAGCCACAGTTGATAAAGAGATCTAACTACTGAACCAAGCCAACTGCCTTCTCCTCCTTCTCTGCAAAAAAAAATACAGATAAATTTATATCTCTAATGATTACCTAACCCTTCATCAAAAGATGACCCTGGTTAACTAAATATTTATGCATTTACTGGAGTAAATGCAAATCCAGTATATTTCTGTAAAGCCTGTTCCTTTGTTTGATTTTTTGTTTGATTTTTACAACTTCATTTGTCATTTTAAAACTGCGAAGAATTAAAATACTTAAGTGTAAAACAAAGCGACTCAATCTCCCTTTAGTATTCCAACTAAAGACTTCCTGTTAACAGCAGGATTCCTTCCTTTGGCACATACAGTAAGTGCTTGACTGGTATTTTGGCCAAAAATGCTAAAGGTCAAATTTCACAGCTAAAGTAGAACTTGGTAGGCTGTAAAGCCCAATAAGGTATCAAGCCAGTAAAATATCATGCAACTTGTTTTCTTGCTTCTGCTAAATACAGTAAGATGAAGTTAACTTTTGAGATAAGGTGTTTCCTGAAAATCTACGTAATAACTAACTGGCAGGAATTACTATTGTCATTAAGAAGTCACTGCATAAAATATTTTATTCCATACCTTTTTTTCAATTATTACACTGGTCAAAGTAATCAAAATTTAATTCTCATGAAAACTATGTTTAGATACTAAACACTATAGCCATGGCTGATAAAAAGATCTAAGTACTGAACCAAGCCAACTGTCTTCTCTCCTCTGCAGTAAAATTACAGATACGTTTATGTCTCTAATGATTATCCAATCCCTCATCAAAAGATGATCCTGGTTTATTAAATATGTATGCATTTCCTGGAGTAAATACTACACCTCTGCCATCCTGCAAACTTAACTTTCTTCTTTCCATTCACCCACATTCCTTCAACTCTATCCACCATAAATCTTGAAAATATAAGTTTCTAGTCTTTTCAAGATGATTTCAAAAAACTTCCAGTTACTGTCTCATATTCAGATTGTTCCCATCTGGAAAAGACAGTTTTTAGGCTTTCCTGTACAGTTTATAATCGGTTATTAATCCTTGCCAGCCACTTAAGAGAGTCTTTTAAAGAAGTACTGCTTTTTTCTAGATGGTAATGGGTCAGAATTGACTCGATGGCAACTAACAACAACAAAAGTTTAGATTACATTTAAACTGCCCTGATGTAAATTAATGTTATTAAATGAAGTTTCCGAGCATGTATCACTGATTGTTTTTTTAATCTTATTTTTAAAATGTCATTAATTTGAAAAAGCATCCAATTATATTTTATTTATTTCCAAATTATGATTGGAAAATTGTTTTAAAGTTTGTCTTTAAACTTAAAAAAAATATGTCAGATTGCTCCTGAGAGAATCAGTAAAGATTTAGGTCTTGAAACTCAATGATATTTTGTGAATCAGTATCTTAACTTGGTATTATTAATTCTTCATACTTATATGTTTAAAGTTCAGGCAGAAAAGTACTATGATCAGTGAATGATGGTTGCAATGTAAATACACCTGGGAAAGATGAGTGCAAAGAACAACAAATCATCTTTATTAACTGAAACAGACTGTTTAAAGCTATCACTCCTACTTCCCCTCAGCTATCAAAATCACCTCAAGTTTCCAGACTTGAAACCTCCGGATTCATTCACTTATTTGACCATTTATTTATTACCTCCCACATAGCCAGGTTGGAGCCCCGATGGCGCAGTGGCTAAGTGTTCTGCTGCTAACCAAAAGGTTGGCAGTTTGAATCCACCAACTGCTCCTTGGAAACCCTATGGGGCAGTTCTACTGTCCCATAGGGTTGCTGTAAGTCAGAATTAACTTGACAGCAGTGGGTTACGTAGCCAGGTTAGGTGCTCAGCTTCTAACCTAATGGTCAGCATTCAAACCCACCAGCTGCTCCTTTGGAAAATGATGTTGGCAGTCTGCCTCTATAAAGATTCAGAGCCTTGGAAACCTTATGGGACAGTTCTACTTTGTCCTTTAGGATCGCTATGAGTTGGAATCAACTCAACGCAATGGGTTTATGTAGCCAGATGCTGTGCTAATCCTATCTGACTCTTCCCTCTCCCTCATCCTTCAAACCCCATTAGTGGCCAAGTTACATCAATTCAGATCTGCCCTACTTGTCCCTCTTCCAAATGTCCCCAGCCTAGTCAAGTCCTCATTAATTCTTGGGAAGGCTGAATTTAAAATGTTAACTACTGAACAGCTACCAAATGAAAGATTATGGAGTCATTAAAACTACTCATAAAAAGTGTGCAACATTAGGAACTCATACAAATAAAGAGATACAAAACTGTACAAAGTGTAATTACAACAATGTAAAAAAAACTTGGCACAAAAAAAGACGAAGGAAATAACTAAAATACTAACGGAGTCTCTGGTATAATAGGTGATTTACCTTTACTTTTCTGTATTTTGCAAATTTCCTATAATCAAATATTATTCAAAAACAAAATATTAATGAGCTTTATTTTTAAAACTATTTATATGGATAACATTATTTCTAAGCTTCAGAACTGCACAATATTAGAATAATCAAAGTAAAGACTGAAGTAGGCAATTGTCTTCATCCTTTAGCCTAGAAGTTCATTAAAAACAATAAAGGCACTCATCCATGCTCATTACAGTACTTCTATACGCCTAGAAAACCTCTCCACCTCAACGTCCCAATGAGACTTCAACATCAGCTTTCACAAAATAAGCTGCTCCTACCAACTACTAAACACTAGTCCCAATTTTCAAACCTTTAGTGTTTTACTTTCTCCCAAACCCATAATTACTAGAAGCCCTGGTGGCACAGTGGTTAATGCGCTCAGCTGCTAACTGGAAGGTTGGCTGTTTGAACCCACCAGCTGCTCCACAGGAGAAAGATGTGGCAGTCTTCTTCCGTAAAGATTTACAGCCTTGGAAACTCTATGGGGCAGTTCTACTTCATCCTATAGGGTCGCTATGAGTCAGAATAGACTTAATAGCAATAGGTATGGGAAACCCATAATTAAGTCTTATTTTTCCTTCAAGAGCATCACAGAATTGCCTTTCCTCTGCATTACCACTGGTACTGGAGTACCAGTAGGAAAAATCCTCTTTCTCCAGAAATTTATTCTGAATACTATTAAACTAATCCTTAAGCACTACTTTCATAAAATCATCAGTCATTGTGAAATCAGCAATGGTTGCTGCTTGACTCAAATCTAAATCCTACAGCCTGTCATTGGACCACAAATCTCCACCCCATCTTACATCATACCTCTTCAAATATGGCATAACTATACACTGTCCCTTGGATTTACACCATGCTTACTCCCAATTTTCCACCTAAAATATCTTTCCTCTGTCCCTTGTTAGCCCAAAATCCAACTTCAAAGACCAGTTCAAGTCTTATCTCTTCCATGAATCATTCTCTAGATATTCCAGCCTACCCTGATTTTTCTCTTCTGACTTGAAATAGGTTATGAAGTTTAACAATTAACTGTTCTGTGATTATCTTGTATATGTTAGCTTTGTTTCCCCAATAAGGAACCAGAGGGCAGAGACCAAGTGGGCTAGGGAAAGTGTTAAGACTCATAAATGATTAATACTAAATAAATTTTAAAAATGTTTTCTACAATCAAAATACTTATGCTCCAAACTGTTTTTTTTTAAGTCTGCTTATTTGAGGATATGTGGGCTAAAAGGTAAATCTATTTCACGTATTTTTTCTTTTTTTATCCTGTCAAAATTTAAGGCCCACAACTTCGTAGGAAAAAGCAATCAGATGAGAAAATTTATGTAATTTTCAGCTTTCCTCAAATAAACCATTTGACAATAAGTCTTTCTGACCAACTCAGGAAATAATCATTGGGCTACTAAAAGTTTTGTTAAGAGAAACAGGTCAGGTTCTATCTAAACAATGATGCAGTTACCAATGGTGTCACCTAGCATACCCAAACCTTCCCATTCTACCAAATGTACACCTAAATTCAATCCAACTATGGACATTAAATTCTCCATGTTTTCAAAGCTCACAGTGTTACAGGTCTAGGTAGCTTTGAGATAAGAACCATGTTTATATAACACAAGTTAAAAAAATAAATGGGCTCAAGAATTCTTTCATCCAGCGTAGGTTAATAACTATTTGCAACCTGGTTTAGCAAGACTGGTCTAACAAAAAAGTATGTCACTACAAATATTGCTGGTTTCCCAAGAAAACCCAGAAAAGAGCATCTTTTAAACTGAAGTATCAATAAATCTAAATATAAACTAATGTACTTATAATTTTAAGTCACCTGAAGCATGCCTCCCCTGATTCTGTGGCATTCTTTGGAACAGATCATGGTTGTACTCATAATATCTGTAGTCTTCATGTACACGATCTCCAAGTGGCCGCCTTCTCTGACCGTCAAAAAAATTATCTGAATAATAGAATCGGGAACTGGAGTCTCCATTTTCCACAGCAAAATTAACTTCTGTTAAAAATGACTGAGAAGAGCCATATTCCCTAGGTACATCTGCTAGACTCCTGGCAAGATAAGAAGGTGCAGATAATCTGTTGCTTTCCCTTCTCATTATTTCATGAGGTGTTCTTTGAACTGGAGTTCTAAGGAAACTCTGGTTTCTTGAAACTACTCCATCTCCAGAAGCTGAAAAGGCATTAGGGTTTGAATCTGGAAGACAGATATCAGTTCGTCTTGGAATTGTTGGACCATGCCGGATGAATGAAGGCATAAGATCTATAATAAAACAAAGAGTAAAATATACCATTTTAGTAAGCAATAGATACACTTTTTAAAAGCTGTTCACATCTATCATCACCAAAATGCAAAATTTCAATGGACTTAAGAAAACACAATTTGAAATTCTAATTTAAAATAGTACTTGGGTATTTTTAAGTTAAGGCTGATTAATACTTTCCCACACAAATGAATTTATACTTCGTATGAATGTGCTATGTTTAAGCTCAGTCAGAATCAAATGTATTCTACATACTGCCATACAAGATGATGAAATGCCAATAAATTTAAATATGAATATGTATCGAAAGAAATACTCATTAATTAATGTGTAAACATAGGAAACAACAGTAACAATCTAACAAAGCTAAACAGTTATCAGTATAATTTATGCGATTATACTTTGTTTTGTTTATAAACTGCTAAAAACCCTTCTTCATGCAAACACAATTCCAAAGATAAAACAGAACATAATGCTACTCCCAAACATGTAAATTGGATTCCTTTAAAAAGATTTTTTAAATTATTAACTCAGTCTTCCTACTCTTGAAATTACCTAGAACCAGTACAGTAATCAAAAGCCTGTAGGTTAAAATTTTAGGTATAAAAATTAAAAATGAAAGGATCTTATTTCAAAAAGGTATACAAATACTGAATCAGTTCAAAAACACCAAGCCTGAAACTATGGTACCTTTAAGGCAAGTAATTATAATTCAAAACAGAAGATAACAGCAGAACAATAGCTTTCAGGATATAGTACTTCTGAATACCATATTTGAAAATACCTTAGATATTCTCAGTTAGGAAGAAAATACTTTTAAAACATGAAGGAAGCTGGATTTTATTCATTTTACAACTTACTACTACAGGGCATTCATAATAACAACCTTCAGAAGCTAACACTGGACAGAAACTAACATCCGAATAAATCAGACTCAACACTTGATGAAGCAAAAACAAAATACTATATCAAAAGTTATTTGCTCTAAAAAAAAATTTATTTGCTTAAAAGTATTTCATAACTTTAAGTAATGTTTAATAAACTGTCTTTGCAGGAAACTGCAAGCTATCATTTAAAAACTTAACCAAGAATCTAACATGTGTAACTGAAAAAAAAGGTTGTTAAAAACAGTCTAAAGACCAAGTTTCAGGATACTGATCTACCCCATCAGCTCTATTTTGTTACTCTATTAGAAAGCACTGCAAGTACGACAATACATCTAGATATCTGAAGATGTGATTGTAACGGAAAAACATGCTCTCCACCCTTTTCTGTGTGATCCTGGGAAGTACTAAGAACCTCTATAAACAGCTTTCTCAACTACAAATGAAGTAATACCTCACTACTCGCTCCCAAGAAGAAAACTTACACAAAGGGACTAGCACGCAGTATGAGCACCAAACATTAGCTCCAACTTACTTAACAAAGGTACAGAACAAACAAACAAAAATTAAAAATTCAAAAGATTCAGCTTGAAAATACATAAATGAGGAGAAAAGTGGAAGGGGGTAACACTCCATTAAAATTTAAAAAAAAAATTTTTTAGTAATTTTCCTAAAATTAGGTAGAAATAATTTTGACTTCTTTGCCTTTCTGGAGTCTCTGGGAGTCTTCACTGGAGGCATAAATTTTAAAACTTCTTACTAATATAGCCAAACACAAATGACTTTGGCTCCTCTGCTTTGAGGTCTAAGAGTGATGAGGCTTTGGATAGCGGCTGCAATAACGACAGTCTGCTTTTCACCTCATCTCTGCATCCAGCAGCAGAGCTAAAGAATTTCGCCTCAGATATCCCACAAGTTCCAGCACCGGCGAGTGACACCGGCAATGTTTGCAAACATAACGCACATCTCAACGCACTGTGTCTATACGAAGAAAGTGTCCCAGTCTAACCACTTTTACTCCTAAAACGTCAGAGTATCAGCAATTTAAGTGTTCCCTAAAGAGTCTCTTCTAGTAATCAATGCCACGGAGAAGGGAAGATTTGTTATTTTTAGGGGCTCCCCTCAAGGAAAAAGAAACTAACTTAAGTTTCTTATTCTTTATCGCCTTTCAAAGAAAGAACGCCACTTCATGCACAAGCAAATAGAAAACCAGCACTCCGCAGAGGCCAATAGGAATGCGGACCCGCGGGGAGACGCGCTGGGCTCTAACAAGCCGCGACGGGCGCCCCCGCCCGGGTCCCCGCGGTGGCCCGGGCCAGGTGGGTGCGCCCCGCCCGACACTCACTCCGTAGCAGAGGCGACGTCTCCTTCTTCACGTACTTCCCCTGCACCTCGGCCGGCTTGGACACTTCGTTTTTTGTTTTCTTTCGGGACAGCATCCTCCTCTACAATACCCAAGGCCGCGCCAAGCAGCCTCCCTTAGGGCTCCGCGCCGGGACCCGACCGTCTCCGCCGCCGCCTCCCTCTCGCGCCGCCGCCGCCTCTCCGCAGCCCGGGGTCGCACGCAGGGAATGCCGCATGTTCGGGGCGCTAAGCGCGCCGGTCGCCGCTCAGCCGCATGTCAGTTCCTTCCCGGAAGTCTGCCCGCTCCGCGACGCTGCCCGGGGACGCCGTGCGGAGAGGCCAGGGAAGCCGGGCCAGCGCCATGGTCCGCCGCCGGCAGCCTAATAACCGCTACCGCCACCGCCGCCGCCGCCGCCGCGCCACTGCCGCCCACGTCCCGTAAACTTTCCCCACAGCCGCTGGGAATTCTGGGAAACTCGACGCAGCGCAAGCCGCTACCACCGCCCCTCCCCCACCGCAGCTCCCGGGCGCGGCTTCCACTGCCCAACGCTGACGCCTCAGCTAACGGGCTAGCCCCACAGTCTCGCCAGAGGAGGAGCTACCCGTCTTCAGAAGTCTTCAGCGAGAAACAGGTCCGGCGGACCGGAGAGGACGAGAGGACTAGGCCGGCGTGATTGAACACGGGAGGCCGTCGTGCGCTCACGCAGTGGAGTCCCTGTTCCCACAGGTTTTTTTTCTCCGGACCCTGAAGACAGGCATGCTTCTTAAACGCGTTCCGATCGTCTTCGAGGAGTGAAATCCTTCTTGGAGTGCCCTAGGCTGGTAAATTTAGGTCCCTAATAACGCAGAATAAGAATAGAGTTGATGGATCACAATCCCAGGATCGTGCCACACCAAATAATATCGTTATTGTTGTTAGGTGCTGTGGAGTCGGCTTCGCTCATAGCAACCCAGTGTACAACTGAACTAATCACTGCCCGGTCCTGTGCCACCCTCACATGTTTGAGCCCATTGTCGCCGACACTGTGTCATACCGTCTTGTTGGGGGGTCTTCTTTTTTTTCTCTGGCCCTCTAGTTTACCAAGCGTAATGTCCTTCTCCAGGGACTGGTGCCTCCTGATAACGTGTCCAAAGTACGTGTGAGGAGGTATCACCATCCTAGCTTCTAAGGAGTATTCTGTCTGTACTTCTTCCAAGACAGGTATGTTCCTTATTCTGGCAGTATGTGGTATATTCAATATTCTTCACCAACATCATAATTCAAATTCATCAGTCCTTCTCCCTTATTTATTGTCCATCTTTTGAATGCATATGCGGCCACTGAAAATACCACAGCTTGGGTGTTTTGAGCAGATTTGCCCAATGCAATACACTGTTTGATTTCTTTTTTTCTTTTTTCCCCATACAAAAATTTATACATACATTGTTACGTGACTCTAATTGCTCTCCCCATACTGTGACAGCACACTCCTCCTTTCCACCCCAATTCCCCATGTCCATTCAACCAGCTCCTAACCCTCTGCCTTCCCATCTCACCTCTGGACAGAAGCTGCCCATTTAGTATCTTGTATCTACTTGAGCTAAGAGACACACTCCTCACGAGTATCACTTTATGTCCCATAATCCAATCTAATCCCTGTCTGAAGAGTTGGCCTCAGAAATTGTTTTAGTCGTGGGCTGATAGAGAATCCAGGGGCCATGCTTCCCAGGGTTCCTCTAGCCTCAGTCAGACCATTAAGTCTGGTCTTCTTACTAGAATTTGAGTTCTGCAACCCACATTTCTCCTGCTCCATCCAGGACTCTGTGTTGTGTTCCCTGTCAGGGCAGTCATTGATGGTAGCCAGGCACCATCTAGTTCTGGTCTCAGGCTGAAGTCGTCTCTCGTTTATGTGGCCTTTTCTGTCTCTCGGGCTAATACCTTCCTTGTGTCTTTGGTGTTCTTTGTTCTCCTTTACTCCAGGTGGTGGGACCAATTGATGCATCTTAGATGGCCGCTTGCAAGCTTTTAAGACCCTAGGCCACTCATCAAAGTAGGATGCAGAACATTTTCTTAATAAGCTTTGTTATGCTGATTGACCTAGGTGTCCCCTGAAAACATGGTCCCCACACCCCTACCCCTGCTACTCTGCCTCTCAAAGTGTTTGATTGTATTCAGGAAATTTCTTAGCTTTGGTTTAGTCCAGTTGTTCTGACTTTCCTTGTACGGTGTGCTGTCCTTCCCTTCACCTAAGATAATTCTTATCTACTATCTAATTAGTAAATAATCCTCACTCTCCCTCCCCACCCTCGTAACCATCAAAGAATGTTTTCTTCTGTGTTTAAACATTTTCTTGAGTTCTTATAATAGTGGTCTTATACAATATTTGTCCTTC